ACGAACTGGCAGCTACTCATTTGTGTTTCAGAAGTGTCTCTGAAGAGGATGTAGACAAAATTTCGAACAACTAATAGATTTATACTAAAGCAAATAAATAATTGATCACTCTCAATTTCTATTGCGCGATAGTTGACGAGTGCACAGCCCTCGTCAACTATCACACGATAGAAATCTTGTGCTCATAATCTAATTGTTTAATGGACTGACTGGTACATCTACATGTACATTGTACATGTAAGTCTAGATGGGAAAACATTTGGTTTAATGATGTAAATCTCAAAATATTTTCCCATCATGATCATGACCTAACTTGGTCATTAAGTATTTGAAAAATATCATACCTTGAGTTTGATTTTATTGGAAACTAGTAAATATTCTGAATGGTACATCTTATATTATGCAATTTTTTTATTATTTTTAGGCAAGAATTGAACAAATTCAAGCTTATTTTTCTTCTCCTGAAGAAATGAAACAGCTTGAGAAACAACTTTCAAGAAGAAAGAAGAAAAGGGTGAGATATCAGATTGTAATTAATTAAACTTCTGTTAGTTTCTCCCTAACAGACCTATCAATATAATGCTGAGAAAAGTTCATGTAAATTAACGGTCATGGCAAGTTTATGAAATGTCCAGACAAAGGGCTGATCAGCTTTACAACATCACTACGGCAGTCAAGTCATCTTGACTTGTTCTTTATCATCCTCAAGCTGATAAGCAGAGTTCAAAAGAAAAAACAATTGAATTTGAGCTTGACCTTTAGACAAATAACTCTCAAATTTCACTTGCCCAGGGTAATTGCATGCTTGTTTTTGTTTCCCTTTTTATGACTTGATTTGCAAATGACTTTTCTGGGCCTCTGTCTGTCAGGCAAGTGGACATGAAAAGTTTCTTGTCCCACAGGTAAATCTCCTTGCCCCAGACAACCGGATGGCACTTTTTGTAAGCCCTGATAAACTTGTGTTTCACTTGCCAGCCTTTGGAGCCCAACAGTTCAGTTAGAAAATAAATAAATACCTTTTTGTTGGTAGGACTTGTTTCTCAGTGCTTCTGCATAATATTATCTTGTAATCATTCTTAGTACTTTCAGAAGTAAATAACAACAAAAGGTGTAGATATTCTGCAATATGCATGTACGGTATCTGTTACATGTACAGCCTTACAATGTAAATGGGAGATATGGTTACTCAGCAGTTAGTGACTGGGTTCTTAATCAGATCTGACAGTTTCCAAGTTTTACAGATTATTGTGTTGTTACAGAAATTATCTATACCCATCCCATAGAGGGTTTTTTGNAATTATCTATACCCATCCCATAGAGGGTTTTTTGGGTTGAATCCCCCCCCCCCCCCCAATCCCTCTTGAAATTTTAGGTTTGGTTCATACTTCCCTTTACAATTTTTGGCTTTTGAGACCCCCTCCCCTTTGAAAATTATAATAAACCCCCTTAGGGTTGGTATGAATATTTTCTGGAACCACACATTTCACCTTGTTTTACATTTTCTGATCTGTGTTGTAACATTTGTTGTGAAACTGGTGATTAGCAAAGGTTACATTTAATTGCAAACAAACCACACAAAACAGTCATTTACTAGTTAAATTTGTGAATAACACAGGGACATTGTAAACTTCTTGGACCCTTCTTGCGTACTGTTAAAAATCTGACTACATCTATTTGTCTTTGACAGAAGAGAATAAAGAATAATTTCCTTTCCCCAGGAATGGCAAAAGAGGAGGAGGAAAGAAGAATATATTTACAAGCAGGAAGCACAGCACAGAACAATTGCTCTGAATAAAAAAATTGATGAGTGGAGAACACAGNCCTCCGTTAGGCGGCAGTGGGACGCGTTCCTGGTACCCGAGACATTCCCAGGGGCTTCTCGTATCCCCGACGGGTATGTGACCCCTGCGGAGCCTTCGTCAAGCTTATGGGCCACAGCGCTTATTGACAAGGGTTAGATGTAAGTGCACGGATGAAGACATACTTAAGGGCTTCTCGCATCCCCGACAGATATGTGACCTCGGCGGAGCCTTCCTAAAATTTTTGGGCCACAGAGCTCAATACCACGAGTTAAATGAAACAACTCTGACGACGCAGTGATTTGAAACGCATATGAACAAAACACTGTGCCTTTTTTTTGAAAGGACCATTCGCCCAGCTGAAAGCAAATGCCGCAAAAGGGACATGGTTGAGAGTTGGACAAACCTGTCAACTTTTCGCTAAGAGAATTTGTCATCAACAATAAAACAAATGCCATTTTTAGGTTTTCACTTGTCGTTTATCAGACAGAATCATGAAAGTCATAAAAAAACGAATAGCTTGGCTCCCTTAAACTCCTTTTCAATTCTTTTGCTTTTTTCTTTCCTTCTAACCGGTTTAACGGCTTGGATCGAATTAAGGTCTGTTTTGCTCAAGAATCTCACTGTGATATTTACATTTTAAAAAAATTCCCCCAAATTTCGTACGCATTTCATTTTGGACGGGCAATTTTCGGACAATTTGACTGATTTGAGACGAAGTTCGCACAAAATTTGAAAACGCAGCTTTATTTCTACGGTTAGGCCTACCGTCCACACTATCAAGTCACGAAAACTGACGGAGCTTTTCGCAAACGCTCTTCAAACCGG